TACTTTTATTATCATGATTTACTCATCTTCAACAACAACTCTCTTGGGACCTAACTCAATCCCACAAACAAAAAACTTGGTCCAACTATAATATAAGGTTCAATGGCTCAACTTTGGGCTTCGGGTTGACTCGGACTACTAACTTAGGATTCAGGGCGTTACAAAAGGCACTTCCGTATCAGCGCCAAGGCACTTTAGTACCAATGTTAAGGCACTTCCGTGAATTGATGATAATGCCAATAAATATATATATTTGTTGTTTGGTTATGTATCATGCTTATTGCATTCTGCCATTGTTTGGTATTACAGTCAGAGACCTAATATTTGTATACTCATGGAGAGGCCCTTAGCAGAGACTAAGGGAAGCGTGAGACTTCTACTTCAGTGATAAAATAGTAAATCCCTTAAGTAGGTAACACTTAATCTAAATCATGCATGTACCTACTGCTTAGTATCATGTCTTCATTATGCTTATGTTTATGAAATTCTTTTGCTACTTTAGATTAACGATTATACTGATGGGTTTTGCAAGCTCAACCGATTAGATATTTTCCGTTGATAGGTTAGTAGCTTGAGCAGTTCGTGGAGCACCGTTATAGCAAGACTTCCAACATCTCCGAAAAAGTATTGTACTATAGTTTTAGTGCGCATATGTATTCATAGTACCTTACTCATGTATTCAATATATTAAACTCAGAGTCAGTATTATTTTTTAGGCATTAAAACATTTTTCAAGGCATAATTTAGACACTTATTTTTTGTATTAAGACTTCTTAAAATCAATACAAAATCATTTTAAATATTTTTTTCGTTTTTCAAATGATTCAACTAATAAAATTGTAGTGAGATTCTTTTAAGATTTTGAAAATGTATCAATTCAAAATATTATTATGATATTTGGATAAATAATTTTATAAAAATAATATTTAGATTTGATAAAAATTATAATATATAGAAATAATATCATTATAAAAAATCTATTCATCCTTAAATTTATAAAAATGAATAAATATCCGACGGTATGAAAAGGTCAAAATGAATATAAAAATGTATTTAGTTCTCCACGGTTCATGGGCTGCCTCAACCATTAATCGCTTTCCCACCCCCAACCCCCAATATCTCCACAGCCCAATTCTCATTTATTCTCTCAACTTCTACGCCCTTTTTAAGTTTTTTTTTTCCTAAGAAATTCATTAAGTCAAGGGCCCAACTAAAGACCTTTACAGGCATAAGCTAATTATTAGGTTGAATTCCACTATTAGTATCTAAACTATCAATTTTGATTTATTTTAGTATTTAAACTTTCAATTTCTTTTCAAAATCATTTTTACGTTTAGTTTTTATTCATTTTAATACCTCATTGTTTAAAACTAAAAAATAATAATTACATCATTCATCAGTCAACTATCTTGTCACTCCTATTTTGGTAATCAAGTTTAAAAATGTTCAATTTAACTACTCAACTTTCAAATTGCTCATATTTTAATTACTCTAATTTATTTTATTAAAAAATTTTGTGACATGATATTTTTATTATTATTTTATTAATATATAATTGAGAATAAAAAAATAATTTTGCAAGTTAAAGTGATTAAATTAGGAGTAATTTGAAAGTTCATTAATTAAATTAAAAAAATTAAACTTTAGTGACCAAAATAGGAGTGAGAAGATAGTTGAGTGAATAATGATACAATTTACCCATAAAAAAGGTGCCACGAAACAAAAACTAAAACGTTAGATATGACTTTAAAAAATTAAAAGTTTATGTATTAAATATGTAGTTTACCCTATTTATTATTTGTACTTTGTATATAGGTTATTATTGAGTTGATGTTATTAATTATATGTAAATTAACTTAATAAAAAATAAGATGATATTTTTTCTAAGAATAATTAATATTATAATATATATATTATAATTTTATATAATATTTAAATAAAATAATTAAAATCATCTCAAACACCGAACATAAAATTAATAAATATATATATAAATATTTATCATTTCTCATATAATTTTTAATAAATGTAAATATATTTCTAGACTCACGTTGTTTAATCTAATATAATAATAATAATATGATTTCTAGAAATATTTGTAACTTTCTCTAAATCACATTGAGAAATTCATCTTAATGCTGAGTTTAAATTCGGAATCGGATTCATTGGAAAGTTTTCAAAGGCATAGATCAAGCTTTAGATCATTCAAATTACCCTCCTTTAAATTCTTGTGAGAGAGAAATTCTATTGGTCATGACGATTGAAGAAGAGGTGAGCGTTGCTAGGTTTCTATTGGAATATGATTTTTATGAATTTGGGGAAGAAAATTTTAAATTGATTTGATTAAATGTGATTTTATAACAAATTTAAACTTAAATTCTTATAAAAATTAATGGTTACAAAATTAATTTAATTTTATAGTATGATAATTATAAGTTGATATTTAAATTTTTATGATAAGTATTGTAAATTTATACAAATTTTAAAATATTAATAATTTGTAATATTGACATTTTATTGTAGTTTTTATTATTCATATTTTTTAATTATGCCTTATATGATATTCTTGTTATATCTGATCCTTTCATAATTTTGTATAATTTATATTAGAAAAATTAATGTTCTTTTTTGTATCTTATCAATTATAAAATCAACCCTAATCCTATTTAAGAGGAAAATAGAATGGGGGACTCTAAAAAAAGCAACCAGGGTGCTCGTAATGATTCTAGAACTTATGCTCTAAAGAAATATGAGTGAAAGATGAAAAATTTAACTAATCAGTCAAATGTACTTGCTCTTTTATTTATTAGATCTACAATATTTTATTATAATTAGTATAAATATTATTTCCAAAACATAATTAATGTTCTCCTTGTATGTCATTAATTCTAAATCTAATCTTAATTTTATCTAAAAGATAGAGGATGTGAGACTGTAAGAGAAAAAATGGGAGTGCTTATAATGATTCTATAATTCATGGTCTAAAGCAATATGAGTGAACAACAGCTTAACTAATCGATAAAATATACTTATTCATTTATTTATTAAATCTACATTATATTATTATAATCACTATAAATTACCACGCACGATCCCGCATATGCAAACAACTTCTTACATCGATGAGTTGTGACGGTAAACCCCTCTCTTTAAAAATGAGCACTTTAACTAACCGGTCACCACCGTTGTTCTCCTCACTCATGGGAGGTGATTTTTATTTCTATATTATGTTTTGTGATTAAATTTTCGTTTTTTAAATGGATGCTACTTAACTTCTATTTCCTATGACAATGTTTTTGGGAACAACTTAAAAAGTATTTTATTATTTATGTGTCTTTTTAAAATAAATTAACTGATCATATTCCCATATGTAATGGGGTAAGGGAGAGATAGGGTAGTAGGTTGCCCCCAACGTCAGGTTGAGAGTAGCTTCCGTGAAAGACCTCCAATTATGAATTGCCTATTCCACTTTCTCCCTCACACTCATACTGCTTGCAGAATTGAAGCTATACTGATAATCAATGCAAAGTGATTGACCAACTTTGTTATATAATAGGAAGTGAATTGTTTTGAGCTCAGAAAAAAGAAAAGAAAAGAATGCAAGCCTTTATGACATGCTATGTTTATGATCAATGGGTGCTTCTGTTGTCCTTAAACAAATTTCTTGTGGCATAAGCTACCGCAACATGTAAAAGCAGATAGTCTCAAGTAACTATGTTCATAGGGTTGACTTCTGCTTCTCTTATTTACATATTCTGTTAGATTAATAGATGTTATACAATCCGAGATGAAATAAAATAAAAAGTAAATTTTTTATTAATAAAGTAGAAGAAATAATTTAGAGTAAAGAACCCGAATGATAACTGAAAATTGAACTTGAATTTGGATGAGGCATGCAACAACGTAGTTTCTTTAAGACATGTTTCCGGCCACTCCTTGGTGCTCGAGATATCTTGGCCGTCTGTCTCCCAAAATACAACAACAATATGATCAATGCACAGTAGCACAACTTGTGAGATCACGAACCAAATCTTGTTAGAGACTACCACCGAAAATAAGATAGAAAGGAAGGAGTTTTTTGAACCGTGTCATATCGAATATATTCGTGAATTAGAAGTTATACCATATTTAATATTTGAATAAAAAGGAAATCACATAATATCGTTTTTAATTCATCTTTAATTTGTAGTAGGTAAAAAACCTACAAGCCTTTAGTCCAAACAATCGCATCAACCAATCGTGCCGGCGCACCTAACCCCAATGGGTTCAATGAGATTGGATTTGCACCCCCCAAGCTTGCATGAAAGGCACAATATCAACCTAAGTCCTTTAATAACTAGTAAGTTGGTTTGTGTATATAAACCATTTTCTTGTTTGATATCCTATCAACGTGGGATATGATTTTTCCATTTTCCTTACGCAACACAATTCACATTTACCATACTTTGAGCATCAATTTTTCATTCAACACTCAACATTTTTGATCATATGAGATGCCGTTATAAAGATCTCACGTAGTAGAATATGAATCAATAAATTCATTATTCAATTCTTCATCTTTACACTTAAAAAATATGATTCAAAATTTCCAATTTATTACATTTTTTTCCAACAAAAGAAACAATATGCACTGCAGCAATGAGGCGACTTCAAGATATGGGAGAGATGACCACGGGTCGGGTTTTTGATCAACCCGACCTGACCTGAAAATCTACATCCTCCACCCGATTCTGATCAGACCCGACCCGAAAAATATAAACTCTCCACTCGACTCTGACCCGACCTGATATAAAATAAGGATTTAATTAAAATAATAATAAAAATTTTAAGACAATTACATTATTATCCTCAAGTCGGGTTGGAGTTTTTTCACCCTCCACCGAGCCCGATCCGACCAAACCCGAACCCGAATTTAAAAAAAAATCCAACCCTAGTGTTTAGGTCGGGTCAAAACCAGTCGGATTCAAACTAAATTGCCATCTTTAGATATGGGAGCGTCATATTTTATTTTGAATCTTAGAGACAACCTTGGAAGACTGGTACAGGTTTGTTTGCTTTTACCTGGCCAGTTAGTTTTACATTTCTATGTAACATTTAGGTTTGATGATAATCGTCTTTGTTTTGTGCATTTCAGGCTGGAATTGAAATTGCAAACCTATTTCTGAATAAAGGGGAGACAGTATGTCATTTGTTACAGATTTAAATTTTAATGAAGGCTGACTGCTTCTCTCTCTTTATTTTTATAAAATGTGCATGCTCTTATATTTTGAGCTATTTACTTTCTTCGTCCCTGTATTTTAGTCTGTGAAAATTTTATTGATGCATATGTTTGGTTTCTATGACTAATTATGTAGTCTTGGTGTTCTTTTTCTTGCTGCTAAAACTGAGCAGATCATATACACAGTTGGGAGGGATCCACAGTACCAGAATAATGTTGTTGCTGATACTGCCCCGTTGGTTACATTGCCCGTCGTCGTATGCACTTTTGCTTCATCCTAACATGTCTTGTATAATGGGATAATGTCTTGTATAGCCCCTGACCTATAGAAAATGTCTATCATGGAACATGAACTTGAAAATGTTATATCAGGTATTTTCCCAGACTTCCATTTCATGTATCACTCCTAATGGCCTAACACGATACCTGTATTAATGACGTAGTGGTGCATCCATAATTTTGACACATATGCAGACAGGGATGGACCGAACAGAGGTGGGGTAGTCGACCCCGTAAAAATTTAAAATTATCATATAATTAATTTTTTTATGTATTTCCTATTAAAAATATATTTCGCCCCTAGAATTTAGTTCGCTCCGTGAAATTTTAGTTCATCCCCTTGTGTTTAAATTCACCAATAATATAAAATCATGCGTACATCCATGTATGCAGATATTGTGCATGTGTATGATATGCGGTTACCATGTAGTCATCCATGGACATAATTTATTCAAAGAAAATAATTTTTTACTTTTATTTTACTCTTTTCTCAACCCCATATTTTACTTCTTCCCTTGATTCCCCTATCCTACTCCACTATGGCCGGATCTAGTCATTACCTGACCAAGTTTTGCCAGACGGCGTATGCGCTGACCTGATCATGCCATTTCCAGTCTCTTTAAAGATCAGCCAGCTTTCCTGTGGCATGATCCAGCCATAGAATTGGAAGGGTGGGGAGGGATAGGGAGAAAAAGGAGAGTACAAGAAAGAAAATACAACAATTAATTCCAATTTTATCTTTAAATTTAAAATTGTGAATAATTTTTTATTAAAAATATATTCTTTCAATTATGATTTGGTATTTTTCAAAAAGAACAAAATTTTTATAAGAAATCAAATCTAATTTGTGTGAAAAAGAAGAAAATAATCTTTTGGGGGAATATCTATAAATATGTTTCTTTTTCGTTTTGTCTTTTCTCATAACATCATGTGTTAGTCCATGTTATCCGCTAGGCTTGTAAACTATCCGAACGAACACGAATAAGGGTATGTTCATGTTCGTTCGTTTAACTTTAATCGAACAAACGAATTTTAATCGAACAACTAAACAAACAAGATTTCTTGTTCGTGCTCGTTCGTTAAGAAATTTAACTTGTTCGTGTTCGTTCGTTAAAATGTTAAACAAACATAAATGAACAAATGTAAACAAACACAAACGAACAAATGTAAACGAACACAAACGAACAAATGTAAACGAACATAAATGAACGGGGATAAAATTAATTGGGTTTATATTTGAGAACATTTTTTCCTTTCCAAATAATTTTAGGAATTATATCTTCTTTAATTAATTTGAGGTTTTTTTAATTTGGGTTTAAAATTAGGCTTAATATAAAAATAAAATTTCAAACTATATCGCTTTCCCCAAATAGGTGCCTAAATTTTTTTCCAGTCAATCCAGATGTCTAACGTTACAAGTGTTACTGCTTTAGGTGTCTGGTTCATAACAACAGTTAAATTCTACCTTTAAATGACACGTGTCACGTTCTGGTAATTTTAAAATTTTCATTTAAAATTAAATAATTAAAATTATATTATAAAAAACCCCTAAAATTTTGAAAAACTAAAAAAAAAGCTTGAAATTTTGAAAACCCTCATTTCAACCCCTAAACCCACATTGCATGCCATCCTTTATCACCATCGGACCTCCACCCGACCTCTCCTCCACCTGACGACCAATAACCCCATGAAACAGGATCCAATTAACGTAACCCTTGATGAAACCAATGCTACAAATTACGATCTCACGCGATCTCGATGGCCAATCAACGACAAGGATGATGGCGTTTGACTAGGGAGATGGCAAGGATGACATCAGCGACGGTGGTTGTGGCCGACAAGGACGATGTTGATAGGTTAGGGATTTGAGATTTTTAGTGATTTGAGGCTTTTTTGTAATTTAAGAGAAATTATGGTTTTTTTGTAAATATAAAAATATTTTTAAGTTTTTTTTAAAGAAAATTTTTAAAATTACCATAATTTAATACCTGTCACTTAACGGAGTTTTTTAACGGTCGTTACGTTGGGACACCTAAAGTGATAACCTTTGTAACATTACACACCTGAATTTACCTAAAAAACGTTTAGACACCACTTTGAGAAAAAGTGTATAGTTTGGGCACTTCTTCTGTATTAAGGCTTAAAATTAACTAGGCTTTAAAATATTGACATGTTTAAAGTTAAAATATATTAGGTCTTTATATTTCAAATGAGTCTAGAGATTGGACTAAATATAAACGAACGAACATATTATTGAATGTTCACAAACGTAAATGAACGAACAAACTTTTTGTTTGTGTTCATTCATTTAATTAAACGAACATAAAATCTTGTTCATGTTCGTTCGTTTAATAAATAAACGATCATAAATGAACTTCTCGTCGAACAATTCACGAAACAATTTGTTGAACGTTCGGTTCGTTTACAAGTATATTATCCACATGGCAATATTCGTGTACGTCATATTTTTATTGATTGACTACCGCATCATTGATTTTTGTTAATAGAGTAAAGCCATGGGGAGATTGGTGTACAAATTGAAAGTTAAGGCACCTAACTACACATATATACTTCAATTCTGGTGCCGCATTAGAACATTTTCTAGTATCACAGGGGATGTAGAGGACAAATTCCCTTTCACATTTGCATTTATTCTAAATTGTTGTTGGTACTTGACGTAGGTTCTGCAGTTCATGATAACTGTAGAGCTGTTCTTGTTGGGGAGAGGACTTTTGGAAAGGTTTGAAGTTTACCTCATTGTCTGTAACTCAAGCTCTCCTTTGTTCTCTTTTCTTTATAGTTTGTCTATCTTGAACACCCCTGCCCAATCAAATTGAAATGAATTTTTATACTGTCTGGTTGGTGTCGTTGACTCGCGATGAAACTTTTCATGGATGGAAATTGAAATCATTATTTTAGTTAAGTCTCAAAAGGATTGAGTTCAAGTCTTTTAATGATCTGATTATTGAACTGATGGAAATAGATACTAGCCTTGATTATACATCTTGAAAAAAAAGTGTCTTCTAGAATCTTATATCAACCCTTATTGTCCGTTACAGGGTCTAATTCAATCTGTCTTTGAACTTCGTGATGGATCTGGGGTGGTTGTCAATGTTCACTGTTGGAAAGTATGCGACACCAAAATCATTTGGACATCAATGGCAATGGAATAGAACCTGACTGTACAAACTTCCCAGGTAATTACTTTCTTCCGTGGTTCAAACCGAGGGGAATTACTTCCATATTTGAGCTCTATCATGCAAGGAACCCAAAAAACTATGTTCCCCATTTGATTGTTAAAAAGATAATACATTCCTTAGTCCCAGCTGTTCAAAACTCCAAATGTAACCTAAAGGCCACCTTAGATTTTCTAACACTGACGATGAATTGAAAATGGCCTATATCCGATACCGGATTAACACTGCTTTATATGCAGCAGCTTGGAGCGATATTGCACAGCATCTGTCAAGATGCTATTCGCTTCGACAAGGCTGGAAACAGGTCTGTCCTCTCCTTCTTCTTTTTTTCTGTTATCCCCTGCTTGTCTGATATTTACTAGACATGTGGTATGGCATTCTGCAGTTAGATGGAGGTATGATCTGGATTTTCTTGCCCTGTAGGTGCACTTGAGGACTTGAGAGTTAAGAGCTGATTTGCATATGACTTATATAATTAGTTTCAATTGATTAAACATCTTTATATTATACATGGTTTAAGAAGCACTGAATTTAAATTCCCAGCAGACAACCTTTTTTTGCCTTTTTCCTATGAATTAATTTTCCCTCTTTTGGCACCTGTCCGTTGCTTGCTAATTCCAACATCCTGATGCCTCCTCTCTCAAGTTTTCTTATATTCTCCTTTCTCTGTTTCCATCTCTCTTCTATACAAGGAAGCTTTGATTCTTCATGTTTTCATTTTATTTATTTTTATGTCGGAATGATTACTGTACCCTTCTTTGCAATCCCTTCATTGGCCCTTCTCTTTGTTTTTATTATATAAATACCTATTTCTTCTTCATTATTGTTCTTACTAAACAAGATTTTCGTTACCTGTTACAGTTCAAGCACATTCAAGACATGGATTTTAGACTTGTTCAGTTTCTCACAATATTTCTATTGCATCTTTTTCTATATTCAGGTGATTGCTGTATACTTGTACCCATGCCTTTAAAATGCTTTGTTTTCTTCATCTCTTGTCATGTTTGTATATTTCTATGGGGAACTCTATTTTGGTTTTGCCCCAAATCTTGCTAGGATTTAGCATTAATGCTTGAAACAATTCTCATCTGAATGAGTGAATTTTTTTGGGGAAAATTTCTGTTAAACCAATACTTAACATGCTTTTAATCTCCAGGTGCAAGTATTTCCAGGAAACCTCCCCTCCGAGAAGTCAATCAGAGAAAACAATGCAACCAAGAATCGAGGTTGCTCCTAGACCCTTCAATATCCACTACACTACTAGATAATGTTCCCATCGTTAACCCTACACCTACAACTCCAGGAACAACTCCAAACCCGACATCCCCGTCAACAGAGCCGATCACCAACCCGACTACCCCGATCACGCCTCCAACAGCACCGGTCACAAATCCAACAACACCGACCACAACTCCAACAGCACCGGTCACAAATCCAACAACACCACCCACAACTCCGACAACCCAAAACCCAACTCCTACGACATCATCAGGAGGTTCCTGGTGTATTGCAAATCAAGGTGCTTCATCAACTGCTCTGCAGGTAGCTCTAGACTATGCCTGCGGATACGGCGGTGCGGACTGCTCAGCGATTCAACCTGGAGGAAGTTGCTATGAACCCAGCACGGTTCAGAATCACGCTTCTTATGCTTTCAATGATTACTACCAGAAACACCCTGATCCAACCAGCTGTGTTTTTGGAGGCACTGCTCAGCTTACAAATACAGACCCAAGTATGATATTCTAGAAAAGAAAAATCAACTTGTTTCTGAACTACAGTTTTTTTCTTTTTTATAATCTTTCAATTAAAATTCGCCTTTGTATATCGATCCAGGCAATGGGAACTGTCATTATGCAGCATCCTCGCCAACAAGGTAAATATCTTACAACTACCATGGGACCAGCTCTCATATCAGTTTCAACACACACAATATATGTGTTGCTTATATTTTTCATTTGAACATGTAAACACAGTGTGACTCCGCCTGCCAGCATAACACCACCGGCCACCCTACCGCCACCGGATACCATGACTCCCCCCTTTGGGATGAGCCCACCTTTCACCGGGCCGGGAGGGGTGTATGGTTCAGCAGAACCAACAGGACTCCCAAGCTCAGCCAGCTCTATGCCATTCAGCTACGTGCTGATCTTTACCACAATGTCACTTCTTGTTGCATACAAACTCTGGACATAAGGGAAGCAGCTTTCAGTTACTTTTTTCCGACGACACGATTGCACCTTCTTTGGCTCTCCAACTGAGTTTCAGAAACTTTCAGCAAGCTTGGGAATCAACAATGACATCCATGTTCTCTCCATTAAGATCTAAATATTTATTGTATTTGTTGATCTACGTATACATAAAAGCTGGTTTGAAAAAACATCAAAGAAGAGCATAGAATCTCTTAGGTTCTTGTACTCATAGATAAGTTAAGAATATGATAGCTGCTTTTGCAGAATTACTGTTAGCTGCACAATAAAGTTGTTCGAGATGCCCTGCTGGCCTCTGCCTCCAGGAATTAATGCTTTTTTCGGTAAAGGAAATCGTCTGACTTAGCTAGTTCATTATACTAGATTTAATTCTTTTTTACTTTATAATTATTCCTCGGCTACCTTTTAATTATTTTTCTCCAGCAAAATTCATACAGAATTTTCTTATTTCATTTCAATGCCAATACTTTACACCATGCTAAATCAACCCCAACAAGGATGAATGTTTATAAGAATATTATAATATTTCAGAACCTTTTCATATATTTTAAGGAACGTACTTCCAAAATTAAAAATATTGTGAATTTATAAAACTGAAAAAAATATAATAAATTAATCTTATATTGACGGTTGTTTCACTTTTTTAAATATTAGAAAATCATCTAATAACTAGGGTAAACTATACGAATAGTCTCCTTTGTTTTCAGTTTAACCGACTTTGGTCATCGATTCAAAAATTAAGTGTGTTTAGTCCCTTACATTATATATTTAATATATAATGGTCCCTCAAACATTAACATTCATTAATTCATTAACGGATATGTGATGTGGCAATTAAAAAATTCAAAAAAAACAGGTCAACTTGTAATAATACACGTGGCATTTCTGAAATTTTGGACGTTTTCAAACTGCTTTTAGACCGGCTACACCTCCTGCAAAACCACCACCTTATTATTCCCGTTTGAACTCGAGATCTAGTTCACAATACTCAAGGCGACCAAGTCCTCCATGTGGCACAACAGCATTTTCACAGAACGTTATTGAAAGCCTCAGGCGGTCAAATGAAGTTCTGAACCAAGAAGTGTCAAAACTGCAAAATCAAGTACTAGTGATATACTTGCTGCTCTGTTATGGTCATCCGCTGCTTGTGTTACACATGCAGCCTGCCATCAAAACTAATTCATTTTTCTCTACTTTCGATCGGTTACAGTACAAGTCAAAATTTTGAAGCAGAAATGTGATACACAAGGCGTGGATATTCAGAAACTACGGAAAAACGCTCAAGAATCAGCTTTATATGCTGTAAGAGAATCATCCAGGTTTAAAGAGGCCAAGGAAGCTGTGAAATCCACCACAGATGAGGTACATTTAGTTAACTCGCTTATCTTTTCAGTTTGCCACCATATGTAAACCATGCCATCTACAATGATACCTACTCATAAATGCCCTTCGATATTGTTCTACAGTACAGCTGAAAGAACTTGTAACACCCTATATTAATATGACACACAGTCGACCGATTAGGATGCTACACGGAACGACCGAAGTGGATAACCAACTTTTTTTCTTACTTTCTTTTACTTTAAAACAACCATTTTAATAACCATTTCATAAAAAAACATCAATAAAAATATAAAATAAACTTTACACTGGGAGCTTCCAAAATCAAATATTTAATTACAAAAGTAATTACAGACCAACTCTTGACTGAATCTACGACTCAACTTTACATCAAGGATTATAAATATATACACCCTTTAAAAACGTTGAGACATACTCTGATATGCTCTGGTCTAGACCTCGATACTTCTGAATCTTCTCGAACTGGTCGATCTACTAACCTACCAACAGAAACATCCGAAGGCCAAGCTAACTAGCTCAGCGCCCCACTAACAGCTAAAACATACTAATTGTATATCACTGAAAGGCTTAAGTTATCAATTCTATTGTTCTGCTCTGCTTTAGTGAGTGTACAAGTACACTCGCTCTCTACTCTATGGTAAACATCATGGTGCGGCTGAGGCGCTGCATCTTGGAGCTCACACACCCCTCTAGTCTACCGAGGATATGATCCCCGGAATCTCTGCATCGAAAACTATACCCTCGACTAACCCACCCCTTGCGAGTGTCAGACTTCGACCTTAGTTAGTCAACTTAAATTGCATTGTGCACTCCCTAAGGATATATTTATACTTAAACTATACTTTTGACTTTGCTATCTTTTCTAAAGGAACTTGGGTGTCCTGGTCGTTTCCCGAGCATTCAAACAAAGCTAGTCTTATTTCTTTATTTTGTTTCTATGTTTGAATTAAGCATTATTATTGTTCTCACTTGTAGTCTTATTTAGAAGTAATTATAAGCTTTTGGGAAACCTTAATTGCTTCTATAAATCCTCTTGAATTAATGCCCAAATTGAACCATTGGTCTCGTTACTAACCTTGTAGTATCGATAACCTCTCTTCAGTATCAATACCCTAGTGCTGAAAAGCTTCGAAACTAAAGGGGAAGTATTGATACTCTTAAGGGGTATCAATATTGGGACATTGGGTATCGATACTCCCTAGAGTACCAATACCAAAAATGGTTATTGGATTCCCAGTCTCGATACCAAGCCCTTGGTCTCGATGCCAGACCCTCAGTATCGATACTCCTTTAAGGGGTATCGATATTGTTCATCAAAATGCTCTAATCTAGGCTTCTCTCAAGAACAATATCGATACTACTACATGCAATATTGATATCAACTCTTTAAAATGCCCTATTTGGGCCCGAAACTTGTCCCTTTACTCCCTAAAATCCCTACTTTAAGGTTTCCCAATTAGTTATTAAGCTTTATCTGATTATAAGGGTCATAAATAAGGCTTAGAAACATGTTAAAAACATCGAACATTAAATCTACCATGGAATTCTACTCAACATGCTTAAAACTTAACTTTCTAGCTAAAACTCATTTCTAATGATCTATAATTGGTATAAGGAAGTTGTGAGTGAGTTACCTAATTTCTCTTGTTGCTAAAGTTCCTTTCAAATTAACTTGGGATCACATTTTCCTTCCCCTTTGACTTTGAACTTTCTCCAACTTCCTTAGCTAATCAAAAGGAATAAAAGAGTTTACTAACTTATCTAAGGCTTAAAATAAGGTTAAGGACACTTTAAATAACTCAAATTCACTAAAAAAAGTTTGAAAACCTTGATTCCTTTAAAACCCTTAAAAACACATTTTTGGAAATCTTACCCAAAACTTGAGATTATGGACTCTAAATGAAGCTTAAAGGACTCTAAATGAAGCTTAAGGGATAGAGATTAAGGTTCTTACCTTGATTTCTTCTAACTAAACTTGGAATTTGAAAAGCTTTCTCCTTTAAGCTTACTCTTGGAAGGAAAAGAAGAGAGAAAAGAAGAGAAAATGAGAATATATTTTGGGTGTTGGTTTTCACGTATAATCCTCCTAAAATAAGGGGGTTTTAACCTTTAAACCGGCTATGGATAAATGGCTATTTTGGTCCCTATCCTTTTAAACCCATACTAAAGCCATCAATTTTTCTTAACTTTTGGGCCCAACTTGAGCCCAATACTCTTATAAGCTGGACTAGGAAATCTAATAGGCTCCACTTACGGGTTTCGAGTTAACCCAAATTATAGACTCAGGATTTGGGGTATCACATAACTATTCGAGAAGTTGCCTTTTGAGGTTTTCGAAAGTGAAACCTTTAAAGATATGAATAATCAATCAGCTGAAACATTCTTACCACTTACGGAAAACCTGATGCTTCTATGCCAGCAACCATGGAAAACCAGACGGCAGAAGGCAACACAGCTACCGTCCCATCTAATGATAGTGGAAGTTCCAGAGAGGCTGCAGCTCAACCAATCTTGTGTGAACTTACCGAGCAATTCGAACCTGGAGTACTTGAATTAATGGTTGATTTTACTGAAATAGATCCACCTCTCTGTGTCACACGCTCATCACACATACATGCATCACATAGGCACATACGTAACCGATCGAATGGATCACATAGACACAAATATACGTAACCGAATGCGCAATCAACATAAATACAAACCCGGTGAACCAAAATCGCTTTGACGAACCTTTCCACTGACTACTCTACTAAGAAACCAAGCTTGGTTATCATATGTAATTGTTAGCCTTGTACCGACTCTCAACATTTTTGCAGCAAACGAAAGTTCGCCGAGCATGCAACAAGCTGAAGAATGGTGGAGTAATAAGATAGGGTGCTTATGAGGTACAGCAATGCATCAGCTGCACCATTCCCTTTTCAACCACCGCTAGCACCAGCAGCTGCTGGTGAAACCACTGACGCAGCGCCCCCTTCCCAAACTTAGTTTCCTAAAACTCGACAATGTAAATTAGAGAAAAATCAAACTGCTACTTAGTTTCCCTCTTCTTCTTCTTCTGCCGCTCCTCTCTCTTTTTCTTCTTCTTCTTTATGTTTTGGTAAAAAGTGTGTTAGGGTTTTAATCCCTACTCAGGTCTTGTAATATATATAGGTGCAAAATAATATATATAATATAAATATTAATGAGTTTTTATTCTAAGTCACTTAGAACATGTGATTTATGTGGAATTTTTTTAAATTATCACGTAATAATTATGTTAATAGATTAACGGAAGTTAATATTGAGGGACTTAAATTGAACGGATCGATAATATAAGAGATTAAACCCATTTAATTTTTGAATCGGTAATCAAATTCAATCAGACCAAAAACAAGATGATTATTCGTATAGTTTACCCAATAACTAGATTTAAATATAATTATTTGTGATTATATACATAATATGTTTGAATATCCTTTGTGGTCTTATTGGATTGAACAATTACACTATTCAATTCTTACATAAGTTATGAGAATCAGAAGAGTTCCGATCATATTAACCACAGTATTTTTTAAAAAAAAATGTTGATTTTTAACTAATGGGGTTCATACTTTGTCAACTAAACTAATAGTAATTTAATATCGATTATTATTTGATATACTGTTGGTGAAAAAAAATCACAAGCTGTACTAAAGTTATGCAATTTTTATTTTTTAAAAAATTAAATATATTTGTCATCATTTTAGTGTCTCTT